GCCGCGTGCGATGAGGGCCCCCTTCGGGAAGCGCCGGCTGCCCCCCCAGGCACAGCCGCCACTGGCCACCCAGAGGAGAGGGTAAGGGGTTGGCACCCTCCCGCTCCGGGACAGACACCTGCAGCAGGCTGGTGGGGATTGGTTTGATCCCCTGGGTCCCAGCTGCACTTCGCCGCAGAAACCCGCAGCTCCCTGCCCTGCTGCAGAGGGGCAAGCAGCCTGCAGCGGGGCGGGAGCTGGCACGGCTTGCCTGCAGACTCCCCCCAGCTGGCACTGCCAGCAGTGGGAAAACTGCCAGAGCTCGGGGCTGGCATGTTTTGCCATGGCGGGGGGGCAGGGATGGGGGCAGAGATCACTCAGCTTGCAGCTTCCCTGTGCTCTGATCTCCATGCCAGTAACCGAAAAGCCTCGCTGCATGTGTTTGTGCGTGCCAAAGGCCCCAGCACTGGCTCCTTGGGGTCTTTCCCCTTCTCACCGGGGTTCGTGCTGGCTCTGGCAGGCACAGACATGGGTGGAAGCAGGGGACGGGCGCAGCAGGCTGCAGAGATGCTCCCCGATCTGTGGTCTTGGTAGGACTGTTCATTTGGGGCTGGTCTCAGCAAGCCACAGGCAAGGCTCTGCCAGCAGCTCCTCGCTTGTTTACAATGCTGCTAATCCCTTTGCTCCGTTTCTGTTTTCCACGAGGGCTTCTTGATTACTGGAGGCTGTTTCTCGGGGCAGGGTCCCTTGGTCCAAATGGATACGCAGGTCCCATTCCCTGCCCTGGCTGTGTGGCAGGGCCGGTGGCCGACAGCTTGGTTGACTCCATGATCCCTCCGCAGGGAGTCGCAGCCTCTGCAGAGCAGCTGCGCATCCCTTCAGTGCTCCAGAGCAAGCTGGGGATTAAGGACAAGGGCAAGCTCACAAGGACATCAGCGGCCAGATAAGGCTGCGGCTCCATTCCTGGGGGCTGGCTGCGTGGGATCAGCCATGCTCGGCTGGTCGAGCATCCTCGCTCGGCTGGTCGAGCATCCTCGCTCCCGGCCGGCTGCGGATCAGGGGATCAGGACCTGCCGGCTGCTAATGGGGTGGCCAAACCCTGCAGGGCAGAAAGCACTTAATGCAGCAAGAAGAGCTCAGAGAAGTTCTCTGACCCCCCCTCTTAGCTAGGGCTGCCCTCCTGACCTGTCCTCCTGCACAAGCAGCTGTGGGGCAGCTGGCGTACCTTGGACACCTCGTGATGGCAGCACAAATGCCCACGTTTGCTGCCCTGCTGCTTCACGTGCTGGCAAGGGAAAGGGACTTCCCTTTGCCTGCTGGACTCTGCCCCATCTCTTATTCACATGTGCAGCAGAACGGCAAGAGAGCGTTTCTTCGTGTATCCAGGCATTGAGCATGAATTTAACAGGGCATTGGGGTGGGCTCAGGCTGATGGGGGCCGGGAGCCTGCAGCGTGTGGGAGGGGAGGAGAGCCCAGGGCCCTGTGGTCTGACAGGGTACTACAAGCTCAGAGAGAGCTAAAATGGCTCTGAGCAAGGCTGCAGCTGTGCCGTGGCTCTAGAGGCCACTCTGCTTCCTCTACCCATGATGATTTCGGCCCCACCCTGGCAAGGTTGATTTGTTTTAAGCTGTTTTTAAGTGAGCTCCTGGAACTGGGCTTTGGTTTGTAGCGCCGGGAGAATGTGACGGCCATTTCCAGAGAGGAAACTCGGGAGCAGTGTCCTGCAGACGGGAGCATGCCTGCAGCCGCAGCTTTGCCTTATACCACCTTCTCCTTGCTCCTGCCCTGCAGCACCCTTAGCAAGCAGCAGCAAACTGAAACCAGGGACTGGATTTCCTTCCCTGGTGATAGGCTCTAGACGTCCAACACCTTCCCCCCTGGAGTCATCGTGGCTTGCCCACAGGGTTATAATTTCTTACTCATTTGCTTTCCAGCACTAATCCAAGGGCTTATGCTCTTACAGCCTTTCTTTGCTCCCCTCCTGCAAGTCCAAAGTCCCTCTCACACAGAGCAGCCCCAAAAGCGGACCTGCTCCCCCGGACCTGTTCACTGCAGCGGGAGCCTCAACACCTGGCTCAGACTGAGCCATCCACGTGGCACGTAGCTGGCACTGCCACTGTGACTCCCGTCCCCAGAGCCTGGCCCCATTCACGGTCTGGATGGAGCCAAAAGAGCCACCGGGCTCCTGGTGTACAAGCGGAGCTCGGTGTTGTCCCCTGAGACCCGCTGCTGCCCAAGCATGGGACATGCAGCAGCTTCCCACCAGGCAGGCAACAAGGTGTCCTGCAAGAGCTTGCAGTGTAATAGGGGTTTTTTTGCCTGTCTCTCTGCTTTTTGCAGGGTGAAAAGGAGGAAGATGGCTGACAAGGTCCTGCCACAGAGGGTGAGTGCTGCCTCGGTGCATGGGGAAGGAGCTGAGCTGCTGGAGGGAGGTGGTGCATCTGTGCTGCCTTCCCAGGGCAGCCGGGGTGATGAGGTCCCCACGAGGAGGAGGATCTCGCTGAGCCGCCTCCTGCCTGCCGGGCATTTCTGCTCGGTCCCAAACCAACCTGGAAGATTTCTGTCTCTTCCTCTGGGGTGGTGGGAGAGGTTTGAGGTGTGCACAAAAATTGGACAAGCAGGACTTTGGGCGAGCAAGGAGCAGCGGTGGCTTGGGGTGGAGATCCCAGGAGGACCCTAAGCCCCTCCTGGAGGTCCCTCTTAACAATCCATTACCTGCCTGTGCCACCAGGCAGGCTGCTGGGCACAGTGACAGGCTCCAAATTGGGGTCCGCAGTACAACTCTGATTTGGGGAGAGCTTTGCAGGGTTGTAGTCTTCGTTTAAAATGAGGAATTGGTGCTGTTGTGCTGGACTCATCACTTGGTGACTCCTTGGCGCGCCAACCCAGCACCAGTATCATCGCTGGGGCTGGCGTGGGGGACGCAGCCCCATCCCAGCACGCAAGGGACTGACCGTTTCTGTTTGACAGATCCGGGAACTGGTCCCAGAATCCCAGGCCTACATGGACCTCCTCGCCTTTGAGCGCAAGCTGGACCAAACCATCGCTCGGAAGAGGATGGAGATTCAGGAGGCCATTAAGAAACCGCTGACGGTGCGTGGCAGCCCTGGCTGGCCAGGAGGGCGAGCAGCTGGGTGGGGTGGGGGCGTACGAGGTGGGTGCTGCTGTGGGTGCTGCCAGCCACCCTCTCACTCCGAGCATCCCCCCCCTCTCTGTTTTCCTATTCCACAGCAAAAGCGGAAGCTGAGGATTTACATCTCCAACACTTTCACCCCAGCCAAAGAAGAAGGGGAGGGTGGTGAGCGTGTGGCCTCCTGGGAGCTACGTGTGGAGGGCAAACTGCTGGAGGACGTAAGGATACAGGCAGGGATGAACTGGTTGTGGGAGGAGCACTGCCGCTCCGTGCTGAGAGCTTGGCTGGGGTGGATACGGCCCTCTGCTCGCTGGGTGCCAGAGGCAACGTTTGGGCTGGGGCCCCCCCGGGCGGGGGGCGGCAGGGCGAG